TTTCTTCTCTTTCCTAAACGATGTGATCTGTCTATTTTGACCGTTTCTTTCGCATTTACCATACCGATTTTCTCTTCAAGAAGATCATGAATTATCTTTGTTGTATTTTCGTGCTCTCTCTCTTGGATATTATAAAATATCAGATTATCTCGCATTAATCTCGCTTGGAGATCAATGACGGCATTGTGTAGCTTTATATTTTCGGCTTCTAATTTGTCGATGCGATCGGACGTTTCTTTCTGGACCTTGACCTTCCTTTCACTTTCTGTTTTCAGATCATTTATTTCTTCGTGTGCGTAATCTACCGAGTGCTTCACTTCGTTTAGTTCTTTTTTCATCTCGCAGATTTGTGCCTCAATCGTGTCGAGTTTATTTAGCTTTTGGTTCATCGTGACAATCAAACTGTGAATATCTTCAAGATTTATTGCTTTATGTTCTTCTTTTTCACCCCTTGCCATCGGCGAGTCACTCATCTTTGGTATTTTAGATCCTTTGTTTTTCATGGGCGTTTTATTTAAAGATTCATTCAAACTTTTTATAGAGCGTTTGGAAGCGTGTGTTGGTAACGCCATGACACCTGACACATTTACGCACTTTGCGGTTCATATCTTCAGTTCGGTAAATGCTACGTGGACCAAAATACTACCATTCGATTAAGTGTAACGATAGCAACTCATTTCTATCGATAGATTTAGTGAATGGCAACATTATAGCGATTTATGAGCTTTGAAAGTCAAACGAGCTCGTATATGATCAAATTACGCAATATTACAGACAAATTATGAACATAAACATACCTTTCGCCGAATATAACTTCGTCCCATTGAGACGTACGCTCATTCTGATAGTCTTGATGAATTAAGCAGTTAAAAATAACATTATAGTGTTATTTTCAAGCTTCTATCTTTAAAGTGTGACTTTTAGTGCCGAATTTTGCATTTCTGCTCCGAATTTGCGTTAATCCCAACCGGAAATACGACGAAAAACCGTCAAAACAATGCTACGCTTGTATTGCGTGACTCTGGAAATGCCAGAAATGGTTCTACAGGTCAAAGTGCACCCATACGCGCGAGTTTGACGTCATCCCGGCTAAAGGGAGCTCCTTATTGGCCAAGTATTACGTAGTACAAGCGCGTGCGAGTAAAACCCGATACTTTAAAAGTTCAAAATAAATATTTCTAGTCGGCGTATACATACGAAACTTTCTACACCAAAGCGCTTGAATACAAAGAGTATTTTACACATCAGAAAATGACGAAAAGTTTAGAATATATTCAACTTTTTCTCTTTTTCTCGTTTGAATGTTTGGCGAAGCGGTGAGTATAATATATTATTGTTTCGGTTTGTGTAATGTTTTGACGGCACTTGACCCCCCGTTCGAAAGGTTATTTTGTGAGTGTTACAATGGTGGGTTTTGTTTTAAAGGGTAATACTCGCCGAGATATTTATTTTAGAAAAATTGAATCGTAATGTAATGCGAAACCACTTGTCGAGAAAGAGAGTTTTAAATAAATTAATAAATTAAATGAATGAATTACATGAATAAATCAAGCTAACCTCAATTTGCTTTAATTTTCCGCGAATATGTACCCATTTTGTTCCCTCACACTTGCCAGGTGTCACGCCAACACGGAAATAGATATCATCGTTGGCGTTCACTCCCCAACACCCCAAAACTCCGCAGCTGATATATTTAAGTTTTCCATCAAGAATTTTCCAACTTCTTCCTTGAGGTCTAAATGTTGTTATGCCGGTCCTGCAATATATGTTATCTCCACCGTTAACTCCATAGACAATCCCAGGTGGTCCTGAATCAATCTGCTTTAGATAACCTACAAAATTAGAAAACGAATGTCATTAGGGTAATGTCTATAATCATGCCCATGATAATAATCAAAAAGCAATATTTAAGAAAAAGAAAACAAGTCGCATTTGTTTACGGTGTGATAATGAACGAAGGCGCACGCGAACGCCGAGTTTTTCAATTCCTGTTGTAATATATGTAGACGATATTGCATAGTAAATAATTTTCTTCAAAGACCAACTTTGAAATTCTCTTAATATGTAATCAGTCACTTTACGGGCATTCCTTTACCTGTCGCTTAATTAATAGCAACAAAAGAAAAAATATGTCAAAAAAACATGAAAAAAAACATGTCAAACAAAAGTTGAATGTTAAAGTGAAATATACGGTTCCTCACTATGGTGGAAATAAAAAAAGGTGATATGCCGACTAATTTTCTAATAATTGTTTTTGTTTGTGGAAACACCACGTAAGAAACACCACGTTTACGTGGTGTTTCCACAAACAAAAAGAATTATATTTTATCGCCATGCAAACATTCAAAGAACTAATTTTCTAATGTTTTTCACCTTCTGACTTACTGGTTTTGCCATAACAGCAATGGAATTAGAGGTTTAGTCAGGGACGCCGGAACGATAATAGGGCAAAGGGGGGCGGACGCACACCAAGGGCACCTTTACTGAAAAATGTTTTTTCACTGCAAAATTTTTTGGCGAACTCCCCCCCCGCCAAAAAAACTTCGGTCAGTGTACCATTTTAGGGGTCAAAAAATTTTTCCGGACATACAAAAATTTTCCCTGAAGCCAAAAATTTTTCCGGATATCTTAAATTTTCGCCATTTCTTCAAAATATTTTTCTAAATTCCAAAAATTTCCAAAAATTTTTATAAATATAAACTATAAATTACCTGAATCTCGTGATTTTCCTACAAAAAGCATCGTTGGAAATGTGATTTATCACGTATTATTTTACAACTAAAAGGGCACTTCTGCCCCCCCTGCCCCCCTACCAAAGGGCAAGGGGGGCAGCCGCCCCCCCCCTGCCCCCCAGTTCCGGCGTCCCTGGGTTTAGTTCAATCAGTTCTAGTTTTTGAAATTCAAATATATAATTGCATTTTTTGTCTTTCGCGGAGAAACATAGCTACATATAGCCACTTGAGTTTTTATCAGAAGAGTTGAAGGCGAAGGGACATGCTTACCACACTTAAAATTGGTCAAACATAGACAGTGAAACAGCTCATAAAACAGATAAAATACCAATTGATTGAATTAATAAATCTGATAAGAAAAGCTGTATATACATGCAGCTATTACTGCTGAAATGTAATAGAATTTCATGTAGTATTAATATATGAAATTGTATTACACTACAGCATTGCAGACTGGCAGCATTTCGAAATGTCAAGTTTTAGCTTCCCACATGTCACTGTTTTCAATAGAAGAAGACTTTTGAACATTTCAAAAACTAATATAGAAACTAAACGAAAATATAATAAATGAAAAATATGCTTTAAAAAAAGCTTATAAGAACTATAGTATAGTTAACAACCTAGTGGACACTTTTTAAATTTGATCTATGCATGATGTCTGAATAATTTGATTAAAACTATAAAAGCCTCCTTAATTAACATTGCAGAAACTGGATATCTAAAGTATTGGATATCAAAGTTCGACATTTTCTCACGACTGAGAATATTATGTAAAATGTTATCACCTGATATTCGGGTCCATTTTGTTCCTGGCAAGTTACTTGTTGTGACTCCTTCTCGAAAATAGATATGATCAAATAGGTTTACTCCCCAGACACCAGCGTTACCAACCGAGACATGTTTCAGTCCTCCAGTAACTTTTTTCCAGCGTGGGTTCCCAAGATTTTAGTCATAAGCATCGAGTGTCGACTGCCGACACTCCAAACAACGTCTCGAAGCCGACCACATCAAGTTCTTCCTCGCCAACCTTGCCCCAACATGTGACAATACCGAAACGAAGCAAAGAAAGTGCTCGACAACATTGCAAACGGTCGTTATGGAATTATTTATTCCGGCGGTGGGGGGGGGGGGTGCTTAGTTGGCGCGGTCGCAAGCGCCTTTCACCTCTGAGATCGTGGGTTGTCGATACGGACTCATGTGAAAAGAGTCTGCATGTCAACGCTCTACCGAAACTCGTAAATTTTCTCTGGGTATTCTTGTTTTCTCCCAAAGTTAAACAGGATGGGTTAGAATAAAAAAGGTAAGGAAAATAATATCTCGATTGTTGTAAAGATAAATAGTCTGGGCAAGTAAGTAATATCAGTAAACATAATACTTGTTGTAATCGGTCAGTGATGTAATGTCTATGCATGATAACGCGGAGTGTATGCTTACCCAGTAACCTGTAAGTGCTGTTCATTCAAATCTTACTCTTGTGGCCTCGTGTTCATGTGTCGTGCACAATAGTGAGGCCATTGTGGCAAAAGTCAAATAATAATTATACAGAAAAGTATGCCAACAAGAATTGTTGAAGTCACATTACACACTCGATTGAGCGGTTTTGTGGATGGAAATTATCGAACGGGAACAGCTGTTCTCGGTAAGTGAACATTATTCTCGGTAAGTGAAAAATTACTTGATTTTTCTTTTCAAATCCCAAGTTGTTTCTTGGTTGGTGAATTTAGTGTTGTCATTCAATTACATTCAGTATATAGTTCATAATTTCCAGTCTTAAATCCGCCTGCCCGTGTAGCTCAGTTGGTAGAGCGTCGATCTAGTAACTGTTCGAAGGTGCCGGGATTAATTATATACTTAAATATGTTTGAGACGTTTGTAGTTTTTAAAACTTGCGTTTATAACGAATCGGTCACTGACAAAGTTTTTCTGCTTTATCATATATTCACATAATAGAACGCTATAACTGCTAAAATGTTTCACTCAAAATATATAAGTATAGTTTTGCTATATTATTAACTTGTTTAATTAAAGTAAAGTCGTTTCCATTTTTAAAAGCAAATAAATGCCATATTTTGCACCCGAATTGAACTTGTACCTTTGTATAGCGCGCCACTATGTTTGTTTTGTTTTAAAGCAATCTATGACCGTTGCATGACGATATTGCTTTTAGCAAATGGATTGACTGTAGATCCCACTGTTTTTTCCATCATTTGCATCAGTTTGTTACATATTCTTGCACTGTTATTACAGATTTTGCACTGCTGTTTGAGATTATAATTGTACTGAAATCAACCAATCACAGTCGAGTATAATATTTTATGTATAGTTTTAGGCGGATAAAAACAAATTAGCCTGCTTAATGTTTTTAATTAGGAAGACTTAGCTATGGCCAAATTAACAAGCCTTTAGTAAAAACACATTAAAATCACTAGGATATTTAACCAGGATCGCAATATTATGTTAAGGGTGAACCATTTGATTTTTGAGGGGGGGGGGGGGGGGAAGATTCAGACTGTGCAAGATTTTTTTCCACCCAGGGAAATAAGACAGATATTTTTTTCCTTGAAAAGTGCAGCGCAAGATTTTTTCCCCAATATATTTCGCGGGAGGATATTTTTTTTGCCCCTCGCAATAACGGCTTACAGAGTAACTTAAAGCTTTCATATAGCTATCGCCAGAGACGTAGCCGGGGTTTTCAGTCAGAGGAGGCCGAGAACTGAATCCCAAGAGGGGCCAAGGAATTTTCACTGTGCTTTATTTTATATGGTTATGTCTTAATGTTCCCCGCACTAAAGCGTGCAGGTTTACTTACAAAAAATGTATAACTGCACCAAAACCTAGCTAAAACATGCAGGGATATAGTACTCGAAAATGGGGGAGGTACAGTATATGAATGACTTGTAACCTTGGGGGTTCAGGGGAAAAAATGTTAAAATTTGGACCTCGGAAATGCTATTTCCTGCGTTTTCAGCTATGGATTCTTCCAACAACTTTGCTGTACTAAGCCTAAGGAACACTTACTGTCCTTTATTTTAAACAAGGGAAAATCACAAATCGATAATGCGAATTTTAACTGCCCTCCGAAACAACAATGTTCTACCAAATATATAGCTCTGTACGTAGCTTTTCAATCGCCCATACAAATAGCTTGTTGGGGGATCGGATTGCATCCTCTTCAGAATTTTTTTTTAAATCTAGACTCTAAAGACTAAACTGGCATTTTCACATTAATTTAAAATCATCGTATAATTATACAGTACGTTGAACTTGCATCCTGTAGATGGGCCTTTGAAGCGTTAATATTGTTTGGAGCTATGTTATCAAAAAACGCACACAGATTCAACCATCCAAAAATACTTTTTCTACCATGCATATTAGATATGTATAAATAACTTATAAACTTGTACATATCTTAAGCCCAGATTTTCTCAGGGGGGGGGCAACAATTTTTCCAGGGAACGCCACGGGCTATCGTATGTTATAGGCTCCAAAGGCGGCAGAATGCATGTGATGTTTTCCACTGTTCAGGTTCACCGTGTTCTTTTAAGCAAATGTGCCTGCTCAAAAATCCAAAATCTTGCAAGCCTGTGGACACAATACTGAAGTGAAGAACGTCAGTAGATTTACATGCAGGATTTTTTTTGAGCGCTCTCTTTTGCATGATCGATATTTTTTTCTCGATTGTATGCTGCATGATTTTTTTTCTTTCTCCTGGGATTGCAGAAAAGTTTTTCGAAATCTTCCTACCCCTCCCCCTCTCAAAAATCAAATGGTCCGCCCCTAAGCCAAACTGGATAAAACTTAGGTTAACAAGGAAAGTATAACAAGAAACAAATTTTTTTCCGCAACGGCAAATTTGCCAAGCAACATATCTTTTTCCACGACGTGCTCCTGGTGGAAACTGTCACACGAAACTTTCAGGTTTATTCAGATAGCATTTGGCTGGTTTCGATCTCATAAAAAAGTTGGTGAAACTATAGCTACATGCATTCTTATCCTGAAATTTAAAACCTCAAATGCTCGAATCAGACATTGCTTTTGCGCAGCGGTGTGTGACAAGCAGCATATCTGCTGCATTGTCGAGTCCTCCGGAAATTGTCGCTGTGACTGTACCTGCGTTGAGAGACTGCCACATTCTACGAAGATTGTAATTGAACATATTACTAACCATCATAGTAGAATATGTAATCTGCTGCATTAATTGCCCATATAGCAGATTTCCCAGCTGAAACATGTTTAAATCCTGGATTAGGAATAAAAACCCATCTCGTCCCTGTAGGATTAGCCGCTGTGATACCATCACGACCAAACAGCTGATTGGCTGAATTCACTCCAAGCACTACACCTCCACTGCTTACCTGAGAAAAATGTAATAAAAAACATTTAATTACAACCTTTCGCTACCAACAAAAATTTCACCGTTTTTAAGAATGCTCAATAGTTTGAAGCCATTTTGTTGCAAAGCAACATCTGTGAGTCTTTGTGGTTACTTGAGTGTGGGACAGTGATTAAACAATGGGATTGATGACCAGCCCGCTTTGCTCGCACTGTTTGCCTGCAAATCGGGCCTTTCAGAACTTGAAATCGGACTGGAGCACGCGTTTCTTTCTTTTGATTTGGCAAAAGAAGCACGACAAATGGCAAAATTCGCACGTGCCCGTTTGCAAAAACAACTGCAATCTGCTCTATGAATTCTTTCTGTCACTTTCAATTGATCTCATCCGTGAGTCGCCTCAACGGCATTTGATTCAAATTTTGGATGACGTTCTTTCATGTTAAGGTGATTCGCTTTATTGGTGATCAAAACCGGCAAATTTACGGCGTCACACTTAAAAGCATAATCATTCAAACATAGCCGGGCGGCTTCGTTTCCGATAAACGTGGGTAGAAAGTCTGGAAATTTCTACACAGTTATTTGGATATTCTGTCGGGTGGCTAACGCCATTCTATACGTAGAGCTAAAAGCGTCGAAAACTAAAAATGGCAAAGTGTAACTTGCATGTTATGCCAATTTTCTTAAGCATACAAGAAAGTTTTGTGAGCAGAATTGATCAGTCGGTCAAAAGAGGCCGGAGGTCGTACTTTTTTCCTATTTCGATTTCTTCCCAAAGAGAATGAATAAATTAATGAATTTGTACTGTAATATTTAGGGCAACCCTTTCAGATAACAGTATACTGTAGTGGCTCTGAGAATAACAGGGTGAGAATAACAGGTTGGATTTATAATGCAGTATTGGTATAGATCAACGAAATGAATTAATATATTAAATAAATAAATGAATAAATTACATGAATAGATCAATCTAACCTCAACTTGCTTTAATTTTCCGCTAATATGTTTCCATTTTGTTCCCTCACATTTGTCAGAAGTCACGCCAACCCGAAAAAAGATATTATCATTGGCGTTCGCTCCCCAACACCCCAAAACTCCGCAGCTGATATATTTAAGTTTTTTGTCAAGAATTTTCCAACTTTTTCCTTGAGGTCTAGCTGTTGTTATGCCTGTCCTGCAATATACATTATCTCCACGGTTAACTCCATAGACAATCCCAGGTGGTCCTGAGTCAATCTGCTTTAGTAAACCTACAAAATTAGAAAACGAATGTCATTAGGGTAATTTCTATCAAGCCATGAAAATAATCATGTGTTTACGGTGTGATAATGCACGAACGCGCACGAGCCGAGTTTTTCTATTTCTTTCATAATATAAGTAGAAGGTATTGTAAACAATTTTCCTCAAAGACCGACTTTGAAATTCTTCTAACATGTAATCAATCACGTCACGCAGGATTTATAATTGCTGATTAATTAATAGCAACAAGCTTGTCAGCAGGCGAAGGAGAAAAAAACATGCTAAACAAGAGTTTGATGTGAAAGTTAACTAAACGGTTCAATATGGTGGAAATTTCAAAAACAGTGACATGCAGACTAATTTTCTGATGTTTTTCAACATCTGGCTTCCTGGATTTGCTATAATTAATAGCCACGAAATCGGAAGTTTTCCGTTTTTGTCTGGTTGTTCAGTTTTAATTTTTAAAATATATATAATTGTATTTTTTGTTTTCCGCAGAGAAACATACATATACAGTAGCAGTCAGTTTCATCAGAAGCACTGAAGGCGAAGGGACATGCTTGCCACATCCAAAACAGGTTATATTCGACTATCATAGGCTATGAACACAGCTCAATTTCTCTGCTGGACATTTTCAAAGAAGTAAAATAATTTTTTAAATAAATTTTAATCTATTTTAAGTTCATTACAACAATCAATAGACAACTTGCATGTTAGACTAATTTTTGATTTACTGGCGGGAAAAAAAGTAAATTCCCGTAAAGTATTAAAATCAGTAAAATTTTTAGTATGTTTATAAATTATTACCTGCGGAAATTGTAACCATTTTTGAGCCGAAAATGGTAACAATTTCCACACGTAATACAAATATACTGAAAATATGCAAACTTTGCAAGGCTATATTTCCTGCATTTTACAACATTTCGTAACCAAATTTTGCAATTTTACTAATTTCATTATTTTCTTTTTAACGTACTGTTGTGTTTTATTCCCTTCACTTTACTTAGATTAAAATTTAGCCTAACATGCAAGTTGTCCATTGGCTTGAAGCGCTTATATAACTGTCACGAAACCTGCACAGGGAAGAGTTGCTTTTCATTAAACTTACTGACAAATGTCGTTCACTCCTAAAAGCGCCATCTTTAATTACGTTTTGATAAGTTAACGATACCCTATAGCGTAAATGTACTTAACTTAAATTCCCACGTAAAAATTCCCACATAAAAATCAACAAGATGTGTTCGCAACAGGCTTGTAGCAAGCTTGCCAATAAATTGTAACAATGTTATTTTATCAAGTTGCCACAAGGTTGTCACTCACAACTTGTTGACATGTCAAGTTGTTGAATGCAGGACGATAACAAGTGAGTTGGAACGACTTGTGACAAGTCTGTTGGGATCAGCAACCTTGCAGCAAGTTTCCAACAAGCCGTTGAGAACTTGTCAATAAGCTGGGAACAAGCAGTGCGAACACATCCTGTTGACAAGTTGTTAGAACAACTTTGCTATATATACATATCCAACTTATACTACGTGCGTGCAATTAAGGCCCCAGTGACACGATACCGGATTCGCATCGGAGCGTCATCAAGTTTTACAATTCCAAGGGGAGCTTATATAGCACTCAAAATAATATGATCATATAACAGAATTAGTCAAAAACTTCGAATACTAAAAGTTGTAAGAAGCCGAAAAGCGTCGACTCGCTCCGATTTGCACAAATGCAGCATCGTGTAAGTGGGGTCTAAGTTAATCATTATTTGACTACAAAACGTAACGGATAGTTAAAAACGATTGGCCCCGGAGGACTGGAAAGAGTTTCTGGTATTCAATTTGCCATTGTAGCTATCTTAAGGTCGGTTTACACTTGAAATATTGCTGCGTTTTTAGCCGCGATTTTTCTCTTCTAATGGATGTAAATGCTACTTTTGAAGTGAAACAAGTGGATTAGTTACGATTGTTTACACAAGGGTACATATATTCATTATTCAGAACATTCACAACCTATCTCCTCGTTCACATTCATCAGAAGAAGTAAAGTCGCAATGTGCCTATTGTACTCTTGCCCAAATGGGCTCTTTTTCAACTGGTTATTTCCTCATGTTTTGTGCACAAATGCACAATAGGTTAAAAATAGGTTTGTGATAGGATTCAAGGTCAAAGGCAAAAGAATGAAACGGATGGATTGCCTTAATTGCTCCACACATTACGTCATCATTCCTTAATTAAGTATTTTAGTTTATTCACACTCACGTTAATTTATTTAAGCTTACTTGACCGATTTTTGAACCGCCACCGTTTGTTTATCTATGGACTTGTTTCCACATCCATATACATCAAAATTAATTATGACTTAAGGTTGCCACGTAAATTTTATTAATGATTATTCTGCAAAACGGACAGCTTTAAACATTCTTTTTTACCTCAAATGATTTTTAAACCTAGTTATTTTAGTATTTAGCTACCACAATTTATTCTTATTAATATAGTTAGTATAGCACTTTTTAGCCATAGTTTCATGTTGTTACGAATTTCTGTAATTTAACCTTTTGGTTACAAAAAAAGTTCATTGTTAAAATAATAATAATTTCGAGCTATTTTCCGAGCTATTTAGAATCGGCTCTGAGCTAGGCTCGATATTTCGAGATAGGCTCCGAGTTATTTAGACTAAGCTTTTATTTCATACCTAGAGTATTAGCGGCTTTCCTATTGGCTACAAGAAGGTGCGTTCAATGTCGAACCCACCTGACGTATGTTTAGGAGGGGGTTCGAGATCGATCGGCGGCGGCCATTTTTAAGCGATTTGAACAAATTTCAGAATAAATTAACTGTTTTTAATTGTTTTATAATTTATTTTTTTTATTTTGTTTGATAAAAATGGAATATTCTGTATTCAAAGTGGAAGAGAAGATAGATGGCTGACGAAATTTGTTTGGCACGGGCAGGTTTATATAAATCTTGGCAATGTTTTCGCAGAATGTGTGCATTTTCTCTTTTCAAGAATAAGAGAATATTGTAGAGAATTTTTTGAGCTTCAATTTAAGCCTAAGTTTGTTTGTTTGGCGTAGCATGTTAGCGGCTAAAATGTTTGTTATCCAAACAAGATATTATATACTAAATTCTAAAATGCGTAAATTCTTCAGTACTTTTTGGCATGTGATAAAAACCAAACATACTTGCGGGTTCGGTGAGTCAGGGTATTGGACGCACCTCGGGTGGCTGGAATTTTCCCGAACCCACCTCGCTTGGCTCGGTGAATTCGGGAAACTTCCAGCCACCTCGGTGCGGCAATCCCAGCTCATTTGAGCGTGACTCGAAAGAAATATCCCGTGACTTACAACTATCATCTGGGTTCATCTTCGTTGCTTCGTGTCCGGAAAGAAAAAGATCTCGGCATCATCGTGACAGACAATCTCTTGTGGAACTCGCATATTCAAATGATAACAGCTAAAGCTAACAAGATGCTTGGTCTCCTAAAGAGAACTTGTCCTTTATTGACGGAAACCAAAATCCGGCGTTCATTATACATATCGCTTGTAAAGTCGAAGTTATGCTATGGTACTGAAATTTGGTCTCCATCCAATGTCTACCTCAAAGTCAAGATCGAAAGAATACAACGACGCGCGACAAGATGGATCCTAAGATCAAGAATAGGTGAGATATCATACCAGGAGAGACTTCAGAATTTGGACATGCTGCCGCTGTGTTATGACAGAGAAATCCAAGACTTGGTCTTCTTCTATAAGGCACTATACGGTTACGTAGACTTAGATATAGGCAATTATGTTAGTTTTGTTAGTCATGATCGTTCTCGACTAACCTTAAATCCTAGTCTATTACTTCAAGTGCCGTTATGTAGAACAACTACGTTTAAAAACTCTTACTTTAATCGAACAGTTCATTTATGGAATGTAGTGTGCAGAACTGCATCACCTAATAGCTTCGTGACATTATTTACTTTTAAGAACTTTCTTCGTCGGACTTATTCGTTTTTACGTAATTCAGTTTTTGACGTAGACATGCCATGTACCTGGTCTCTTGTTCGAGACTGTCCATGTCACAGAAACTAAAATAATGTATAGTTCTTTGATTGAAGTAAAGTTCGTTAGTTTTATTTTCCGTACAATTTTTCCAAAATTTACATGCATTTTACATATTTGGAGATCCTGTGGGTATGCGCAAATCGAGCTTTACCTCAACTATAATTTATAGTGTAATGTAATTTTTTGTGTAAAGTTTGTAAGGGAGGTGCCTCGCATGGGCTTTTTCTGACCCGTTTGCACCTTTCCTTTTGGGAAACACCCATTTATCGTTATTGTTAGTATTCCCAATAAAGTTATAAAAGAATAAGAAGAATCTCTCTGCAAGTATATTTGTTACAGAATCAAATAAATTAGGCAGTGAGGAAAGTTTTGCCCGCAAAGCCACGCGCCCGATTTTAAGATCTACGTCTGCGTAATTAATGATCCCTATATCTATCCATAATAAACACTTAAGAAATTTTAATTTATTTTAATTTGTATTCCCTTAACGACTGTTAATGACTTGGGCGGTATACATTTTCGATATGAACAAGAGGAAATTTTGATATATCTCGCAAAATCCACAACGTATACTAGCCATATCGAAAATGTGTTCCCTTGCATTTTGCTTGGTATATGCACAGGGGGTAGGCGGGTTAATCACTTTTAATGACTTTGTAATATGCAAATATCGACCATAACAACGGCGTTAACAACCATGTTAACTTGGGCTTAGCAACTAATAAGATGCGGTGTTTAAAATATGTCGCGAGTTTTATTTCTGCTTTACAATTTATTAACCTAAACGCTCCTTTAAGAAGCACAAAATTTAAAAAATTAAGCCGAATTTCTATTTTTAATTGCGTATACTTAAATAAAACGCTTACAAAATTTATAGTCATTAGATGACATGGAGACGCGAAAAATTGCTGAGCTCAGCAAAAATATTGACTGTTCATGGACCTGAACATTCCCACGACCGCCAGTAGTAATATCCATTTATATCCATTAGGATCCCATTGGTTATGCAAATTCGTATTGCCTTAATCCCTTAATTAATTACCTCAAGACAGAAATAAACTATAATACTGTAGATAAACAAACGGCAACAAAGTAGCCAGAAATACTGTAGATAAACAAACGGCAACAAAGTAGCCAGAAATAAGCTAAAAACTGTTGATAAACAAACGGTGGCGGTTCAAAAATATCAAGTAAGTTTAAATAAATTAATGTGAGTGTGAATAAATTAAAATACTGAAGAAATGATGACGAATGTGTGGAGCAAGGCGATCCACCCGCTTCACCCGCCGTAGAACCCTCCTTCCCCATACTGGCAAATGTATTTGTGCACTAACCATGTGCGCCTGCATTACTATAAAACAAGCAAACATCAAATCGAGGTCATTGAGGAAAAGATGCAATAAACTGTGAAGTCTATACTGATAATTTAAACATTTGCCTGAACTAGTTTTATTTGCCTATGTTATCGTCTCAGTGATTTTTTGCCATGTAAGGGGCTGTATAGTGGGGCTGGGCCGGTTAAGCAGGATAATTCGTTCAACTGTTCAATAAATTTATCATATTGGCTTTAATGAACGCGGTCGATACAAAATGACATTTCCAAGTTGAATTAGCTTAGTTTGATTCTAGAGAACAGAATAAAATTCATTAAAACGGGCTTTTATGGTCAGAAAAAATTCTTGAAGCGATTAATCCCTAGATAATCGAACGGCCACTAGATGCAGTGAGTGATACCGTAGCTACATGTATACTACATTTTAATGAAACATTACAGTATACGGCATTTTACAAATACATTATTAATATCCTCACCACCAACTTTCTTCCATTTAGTTCCTGCTACGTTACTTGACGATACTCCTTCACGATACCAGATGTCATCTTGTTTGTTTACTCCCCAAACTCCCGCTTCGCCAACCGAGACATGTTTTAACAAGCCTCTAATGTGTTTCCATTGCCCCTGAGACCCAACTCGGAGAAAGATGAAGTGAGCGCTGTTTACACCCCAGACAACGTCCGCTGGACTCACGTCAACTTGCATCAGTCTTCCAGGAATCACTGACCACACGGGATTATTGCCTGGAACGATGAGGTATTTTTTATGCATTTGTTTTGTATTTGTTGTCCAATTATATATATAGTATCTTGAAATTGTATAAGAGCCTAAATTTATTATCAACAGGCCACATTTGATGTTTTTTAATTAGCGCCTCTGAAAAATATGTATGTAGCCTACTAGCCAATGCATTTGGTATTAGCATTTACTTGGGAGGTGCATGGATAGTACTTTTCACGCAATCTGATTGGTCTCTCATATCCTTGCACTATTAACCTCCAGACATGCAGAAACAAAATAGCTTCCCCGGTTTCATTCCGGTTACAGAGACCAAATATTTGTACTTTATCAAGCTGCCTGTTTTGCCAAACACGAGATTCTTATAATCCACAAATGTTTACTTAGCATTGTATATATATATAGAAGTATTCTTTAAAGCTCTTTCTATAATGACTAAAATTATACTAGAGCCGTGTAAATACTGGGTTTTTTTTGCAACTATATTGAAGGAGCTGAAAAACAAATTGTTTTGAAAATCTTTTCGTTTTTTTTGGGTAATTTTTGTTTTGTTATGCATGGTATATGCTAAAACAATTATCCACCTCAGTGTCGGTGAATAATGGATGCTCTGTACATCAATGTGTTTCCTTTAACTTCCCTAAATTCCTCCCCGTTATGCCCCAGTAAATGGCGCCCAGAATATTCCATAACTATTATAATAGGTTAATAAATTTGTAGACGTTCTCTGGTTTTATATATATATACATAGGCTACCCTACCTATGCATGCATGCTCTCTTCACTTATTTCACCCGGAATTATCGTTTTGGCAACGGTTTGGAATTAGTTTATTCGACGATTTCATTATAATGGCAATTTTCTCCGAATTGGGGGCTCTCACTCTTCAGGATTTTCATTCTGATAACAGGAAATTAGGTCAGATTTAAACAATTGAAAAGACTCGAAAATTTAGTTATGAAAAATTTAGACTGATTTGAGTGCTTGTCAGATGACTCAGATAGTCTCAACTATTGGTTTAGCGAAACAGTTAGAAGTGGAGAAAATGCCGCGCCTCTTTGACTCCTAATTTTTTAAATTTTCACGGGTTGGATTGAGAGGCTGGACTTCCCCACCAACTGAAAATATATAGTCACATTTGCATAATCAATATGATTTTGGATTATGTTGCGGTAAAAATTAAAAGTTAGAATTGAAAACACTCCCCAAATCATTTTACTCTTTTATGAAAACCTTAGTGAAGCGTGGTTCGCATTTTTGCTAGTTAAAAAATGTTTGCCTTTAATTTGCCCAAGTAAAAATATTATTTAAAAAGGCACTGCCACCCTTCATGTTTCTAGTTTACCAAGGGCGGGGAGAGGTGAGTTTCAAACAGTTTTCGTTAGGAGTTTAGTACTGTAAGTGCTATTATTAGTTTTTGTGGAGAAACACTATAGTGTAGACTCGACCTGCAACCATGGCATGCATGTCAGCACTTCTTGATCCCATGTGGATGACATTGAGTTATATTTTGTGGAATGAATATGACACAAGGAACGCTGCAATATGGCTGATATTCCAAGATAGTCCGTGTGTTGTGACCTTGAAAAGTGCCTAGAAAACGATTTTCATTAAGCATGCCTTAGATCTGAAATAGTTTACGGGAACTAAGACTTTCGAACACGCTGATTTCAAATCCGAAAAGTTCCCACTCCGTAGACCCGCAGTTTTCTCACAAAATGCTATTTTATCTTCAGTAATTTCACAGCAAATTTTTTCATTGTTTAACGACACGGATCGATGACGATACACGATTATGTCACTCAAAAGGACCAATTTCTATTAACCATTCTTCCTTTTAACAAAAGACCGGTTTTGCTCGAATCATTTTGAGTTATGCAATCTTATGCGTGTTGGACGTAAACAACATATCTTGTCTACAACTTTGAGAAGGTACAGATAATTCCTTCTAAAATCCTTAGTTCTGAATCTATCTCTATAAAATCACAAGGACGTTAATGTCAAGTCTTTGGGCTATGTCTCTGGGATGAGAAATAATTCCTTACATGCGATCAAAATGTTTTATACAAAGATATAAAACGGTAATCTATATGTAATGGATCAGCATTGAAATTTCCAACACGGTTTCCGAGACGTAATTCAAGAGATTAACTTATCATTGCATTTGAACTATTACATCAGTTGGTGTTATACTGTGCGATAAGCGAATATTATTGGAAAGAGGGCTTCTATATACGTTGAAATCATCAAATAAACAGCTAATGCACACATTTCTCGACTTTGTGGTAAGTTTACAGAACATATTTTATACTTTGGGACTGATCTTTGTCTTTGATGTGAACATTTATTCTCATAGTTTAAGGTTATTTAAGATTGATCCTGTCCTAAGTCTTCTAGCAGCAACCATTCGACAATATTTCATTTTAGCGCTGTCTTTGCCGTTACGTTTGCTTCGCGTTACTTTTGTTTTTAATAACTTGATCGCGTTAAAAGAGTTATATTTCAGGCCAGTGACATAGCTAAAAGACTTCGCATTAGTGTCCTTGTGATTTTATAGAGATATCTCTAGAACTGAGGATTTTAGAAAGCGTTATCTGTACCTTCTCAAAGTTGTAGACAAGATATGTTGTTTACGTCCAACACGCATAAGATTGCATAAATCAAAATGATTCGAGCAAAATCGATCTTTTGTTAAAAGGAATAATGGTTAATACAAATTGGTCTTTCGAGTGACATAATCGTGTATCGTCATCGACCCGTATCGTTGAACAATGAAAAAATTTGTTGTGAAATTAGTGAAGGTAAAATAGCATTTTGTGAAAAAACTGCGGGTCTACGGAGTGGGAACTTTTCGGATTTGAACTCAGCGTGTTCGAAAGTGTTAGTTTCCGTAAAAATATTTCAGATCTAAGACATGCTTCATGAAAGTGAACGATATCGGGTTACAACACGCGGACTAAGACTAATGCCGCCAGTTTAATTTATATGACAATACGCTATACCCATTGCCAATGAACTTTTACTTCAATGTCAAATCAATGTCATTTATTGTTGGAAAAACGTTTACCTTCAATGCCATCCATGGCCATAATAAATATTAAACATATCACAGATAGCAGCTTCATCTTGAATGAGAACAGACCTGAACAGAGAGATGACCGACTATAAACACATTACAGTTAACACAACTTATACAGGGTGTCTCAAAAAAAACCAAAATCATTGAAATAACGTATTGTTCGAATTTCAATGCCGTAACACAAAGGATTTTCTTCCGATCTGATTAATTTGTTTTAAAAAATTAAAATATCTTTGTAAAGTGAACGTTTGTTTGCTCATGGGAATTTAAAAATGCTTCGTAAATTGTAATATGCGTAATATGCATGATACGTTATTTCAATGATTTTGGGTTTTTTTGAGACACCCTGTACATCATAGCTGCATGCGTTAATTAACTTAGCTACGCTGTTTTGGCATCCAGGCAATTACCAATATACACTATTCATTATTAGCAGCAATTGCATGAATCGTTTGATTAATGACCGATATTGCAGTTAAAGTGTTCTCGACGTTTTTGTTTGGCAGTGATGTATGGATCAAAACAAATAATGTCGGTATATTAACGCGTCATTTCTGTGTCGGTCATACGAATTCAAAGTTTGAATGTCAAAACTAATTAGGCCTATAAAGTCCATCAGGCATAAATTAGTCGAACTTTCATCTGCCGAATGAAATACAATATTAGTCTAATCAGTTACATTGAGGGTACGTTTACACTAACACCCAATAGCTTTCCGTAGTATGATTCAGTGTTCCGTTATTGATTAAGCATAACTCAATTAGTTTCGTGTGAACTCTTATGTAGGGCCGAATAGTTAACATGCACAACTCGACGTTAGCGAACGAATATTCAGTTATGTTAATAATGTACATTGGGTCGCCACCAACCTATATGAACATGGCTTTGTGATTGGTTGATCATAACAATAAAAGACAATGAACTATAGAAATTATCTTACTTATCTTTCCTACACGACGCTCTTCCGATCTATAAACACTGATCACAAAACACGACATTTTAGATTGGTATTGTATTTACTCGACTATTTATGCAAATACACGTGTTTTTTAAATCATTTCAACAGTAGCCATGGTAGACGATTTACATGTGCATGATTGCAACCGCTCTGCAGTGTTTAGCAATTTTGTGTAACATTTTATTCTCCGTGCATATACTTGTGCTGTAGAGGCATTAAAAAGATATAGCAGGTTAAATAACGAAATAAACCATGCACTGTTAACCGCGAGTTATTACTTGAAAACTTTGAAAGTTTCTGCAAATTATTATTCCTGATAACAGCATGCCCGCGGCCCCCAAACAAACATCCCAAGGGCACGTATGGAAGGAGTATTTGTTTCCCAATCTTGTGTGTTCGGTTCGGCGTTCATGCAAAGGTCGCGACTTTTTCAATGAAAGAGAGCAATTTCTGTTTTGGAATTTAACGGGGGAAAGTGTCGAATCCTTTCTACAGATTGTACGTGATGTACGCCCAACAGTTTACTCGCAAACGAGGAGAGGAAATAGAAGACAGATTCACTATCCTTATATACTTTCCGTTCCCTAGCTTTACTGAGTGAATTAACCATGCATTTTAAACGCCAGTCTGTACTATTATTCCTGGTACAAACATGCGCCCAATCTAATAACCCAAAGTTAAAGAGAGCTAACTTTCCTTTCTGTAAATATAATTGCATTGTGAAAGGACACTTCAAGTTGCTCAGGCTTACCTAATTATGCGCCACGTACTTTAGAGTTTAGATTTGTGTAAACAAATTATTATGAGGCCAGTCTTCGGTTGACGAATTGACATTAATTAGTTATGTGTGGATGCCCCAACAAAAAATGATACTACAGTATAGAAAGTTATCCTATTGTTGTTAATAACTGGTAGTTAAAAATTCAATTCAATTGTGTTTACGCACTCTTGTTTTTTCATGGCAGACATTCAAATTATAGTCTTGACGATTAGAATATATTGGTTTACTCACTAGACGAAAATTCATAATGTACTGTCTCGACCAACCAGCAAGCCTGGTTTTAAGAGTTTCGACACATACGTACGTTTGTTTTGGAACGTCATGTGATGATCGTATACGTTTAGCTGACGAAAATTTATAATTTTTCGTCTCGACCAATAAGCAAGCGAGTTTAAGCGCGTTTGTCGTTCAGTTAATGAGGCTATTCGTACGCTTTCGTTCAGTTGTGCATGTTCACTAATAATTACAGCTCGTGAAATCCAGTAGACCAAAGCAACCATGCATGGATTTAATGCCGTCATGGTTACTTGAAGTACCGAATTAAAAATGACAAAAATCTTCTTTGAATATGCTGAAAAGTCAATATATTAATGTGAGCTGATCTAAAGTTGACATTTTCTTACAGTGTCGATTTTTTTGTTATTCACAAATGCCAAATTATACCAATCGGGCGTCCATATAATTATTTTCGTTTTGGGGTTTCATAATACAAATTGACATAAAAGTCCAAAATTAGAAGACAAGATAACTGAATTTTCTCAAACAAACAATTAACCCTTTGAAACACTTTATAGTCTCTCAGGAGGGAGCGCGTAAGTTTTAAATAAATCTTTATTAAGTGAGCATTTTCATTCAAGATCAGTGACATGTATCTCAAATGTTAGGCTGTTGGGGGTCAAGTCTAGACAGTATGCCGCAGTGAGATGAATGAAGCGTCTGAAAAAGAACTCTCTAATGTAGAGGTAGAGAATACTGGGCATCACTCGAGACGAAGGGCCATCAATCGAAACTTCAAAGATTGAATCTATTTCCAGTAATTGCATCACACGCAGTAAATTGTATCTTGATCGACATCTGCACGTTTTCAACGAAGACTCTTTTTAAAGAGCTTTTTGACTAACATCTATAGTGAACTAAGTGAAGTCCTTTGTTTTAAATGTCGGTGTTTTCTTTATAACAGTTTCAAACGCGTGGGTGTCAAATATATGTGGCATTAGCTAGTTCTACTAGTGGCGCCGCCAGGACTTTATTTTAGAGGGCAACTTAATTAATAATTTGTGAAGTCAATTCTAGGAGATCCGAGAACATGCTCCTCCGGAAAGAAAAAATAATTTTGGGTGCCCGAAACGGCATTTCCTGCATTTTGCAATATTGCATGGTTTCGGATACTCACAATTTAATTGAGTGGAAGACCTACTCAAATGGAGCTTTATATAATAAGAAAATTAAATTTTCATTCTGTACGTACATGCGCGCAATACTGTTTGCTCACAATTCTCTACCCAATTTTCCATTCGATTTAAGCGAATCTATACACTCAGATTGAGAGCCCCCTTCCCCACCCCGCTAGCTGTATGTCTCTCGCGTCGCTACCGCATTCTACAATATCAATGGACATGCACCACGAAATAATGCATCTGAACAAAACAGACTGAATATTTTCGTGGTGATTTTAACCTATTGCCTACTAGTTAATTTAACTACCATGCAGGGACCAGTTGTTCAAAATCCGGTTAGCTTAATCCTGCATGCATCGGTTAACAAAGCAAAAAGCAAACTTCACAACAGCTTGTTTAAATTAAACCTGGAGAATATTTTCCAGAAATCTTGTCGCGGACAATAGAAGTTTTATTTTCTAAACTGAAAAAAAAGAATTTGCAGATGTATACCTATAGACCAAAACAGCAAATTAAATATTAACTCTTGATTTACGTTAAAGCTTTGAATAGCTGTCTCCAGGACTTCCTGCACGGTTATCAATCTGAACCAGATTACTGTATGTTAGGTTGATAAATAACCATGCAGGTTTTTTTCGAGTGTGGTTTCGAAATTATACTGCAGTAGTATTATTATAACTATAATTATTAGTATTGAATTTGTCGCTAAAGATTGCAGTGTGCCGAAAGCAAGGTTGTCGCTATTTTGCTGGTAATTAGTATAGATAATAGCATATGGTCTCGAGTGCAATTTGGATATAACATGCACGAGTGAGTTTTTCAAAAACCTCAAACAACGATAATTAAATTAACTGCAGTGCAGCCGTCTATGTTGTAAATCACCTTCTTGTCTTAGCCAACCCACGCGAACTTTCCGGCGGTAGTCTTCTTAGTAGCCTTTTTATCTCATTGAAGCTTTTGTGGATTTTTGAACAAATGGCAGGTTAGAAAAACTGATGGGCTTCAATAATATAAAGCGATTGCTACGCAGGCTATTCCGGCGGCGACTGCGTGGGTTAATGTTCTTTCACTGCTTTTCAATGCCGTAATCAGTATATAACTTATGTTAAAGAACGACATTACAATGTTTTCTCCAAGTATTGCATGCAACCATTATCTTGTCAAATGAATTTATAGGGCTAGGTGGGTATAACATCGGTTGATCAAAGTCAAACCGCGAACGTTGTTTTAAGCCGTATTCTGTGAGATTGTGACCCAAATTCCAAAATGTCGCCGTTAGGAAACGATTCTTGTTGGCCCCCATCGGGAACCACTTTAATTGTACATGAATTTATGGTATTAGCTGTGTACGAATTCATTTGTTATTACTTGCATAAACTGCTACAGTTTCTTTGCATTTTACGATCAAACGTCAACATTTTTTAACTAAAATTTCCGCCAAGTTGTATTTCACTCGATTACATAATAGGAATGCAGTTTGTATCATTCTTCGGCGGTAATAAATATATATACAAATATAAAATAAAAATATCGAAGATCTAGCTGTAAAATATAACTTTCACTTATGAAGAATCTATATCCGCCGTCCTATATCCAGGCATGCAGCATTCTGTCTATTTGATTTTCGGTCAACCATTGGGCACAACATTTTTTCGATGTCAACATGTTTTCGATATATGTGACGATCTTCGTAAAATTCCAAAAAAGAAACTGCAAGTCTTTGCGAATGACAACAAGACAGTTTATTGGAACTCAACGTAGGCTACACCAGATCGAAACTATAGATTTATGTGGACTTAAAGTTGTGCCAGAAGGGGGGCTGTCCCGCTGAACCTGCGGCCTATTTGCATGATCATGAATTCATATTCATGCATCCACCCAGCAAAACAAGACTGAGTTGATTATAATTAAAACAGGTAAAGATGACAAATTCTATATATATTTACTAATATTTTATTTAAATTCCCGATCGAGAGAGAACATATAATTATATAGCCCGTTCGG